TCAAATTATGAATATTAATGTTATTAGCAAACAAATTTGAACCTGCCCTTAACATCCATAGGTAGGTTCTCAAGTCTTTCCTAAGCTTCGCATTTCTTTTTCTAAAATCCACAACTTTCTAAAAATTCTATGATTTGCGCGAAAAATTTCAAAATTTGGGGACTTTTTATTTAATAACAGCAATTTTTACTTTTCTAAAGCTTAATCTTTGAAGCAGAATTTAATTAAACATATGTTTCTTTTTTTTATTATTTTGTATTAATTTAGATCAAAATAAGTGAAGACTATTATATTTAGCATTTTAAAAATTTGTGGTTATAAAACACTGCATGAGATATCTGTGCACGTTAAAGGTAAAATCCTCCAAACTCGACTCACTTTTAAACAATAATTTATTCATCACTGAAATTTCGTTAATTTACTATATTTGTTAATTTACAATTATTGATTAATTTTTTGAATATGAATAATTTTTTTCCCCTTCAAATTACTTCTTTTTTTGATTTTATATGTTTGCACAAATAGGATTCCGATAATCTAACAGATGTTTTTTAGTAACTATGATACTGTTTTTTATATTTAAAAAAAATACCAAAATATATTTTAATTTGTACTTAGTCAGTCATCGTCAGTTATATGCAAATATATTTTTTTCTGGTATCCCATTTGCGTCAGAGGGTTAAATATTGTTAATGTGTAGTTGCTAACTCATTCTGGAAAACAGATCAATAAGAAAATGACAAGAACACAATTCAGTGCGAAAGATAATCTCAATTCTGTCAAGTAAAGTGAACAAGATAAATTGATTAGATGATAAGGATAATGTGCCTGAGTGAAGAAGCAGGGAGATAACCAACTGTATTGTTATGTAGGGGCATATGCCAGACCACAAAATTGATTTGCATGTCTGCACTTTTCAAAAAGGGGGTAACAATAAATCAAACGGTAGTTATTCTGAATTCCATTGATATTATTGTTTACATGCTCTAAAAAGCATTACTAATGTAATAAAAATGTTTTTCGATTTAAATAAAACTAACACTATAACTTTCGTCATTGAATTTTAGAACACAATATAGGGCATAACTAACTGTTTGGCGCAGATTTAGACATCTACGTCTTTTTTCTATACTTTTTTTTTTCTGACGCTCTAATTACACGCAAAAATATCTATTAATAATTTTTTTTTAATTACAAAAAGCAGTCTGATAGTTATTTTAAAAAAATTCTGTTAGTTTATCGGAATTATATTTGTACTAAAATATAACATCCAAATAAAAAAGTAATTTGAATTTTTTTACCTTTATACTTAAAAATGTATCAATGATTTTGTAAATTAAAATAATTTCAATGATAGGTAACTGTTTCTCTTAGATCTAAATAACTGCAAATAAGTACAGATTTAAATAAATAAATAACCAATCAGAAAATAAATTTCGTTCCCTATTTAACTAATCTATTTAAAACTGTGTCACTGCCTTAAAACTGCTCATCCTTATTTAATTAATGAATTAATATTTGAAAAAACTGCATAAATATCAAGTTTATAACGTCACAATAATAATCACAATATTAATCAATCAATTATACTAACAATTACCAATCGTATAATTACATTCAAACACTCTGAAGAAATGTATAAAATACTAGGTGATCTCATCTTTCGCTCTAGTCCAGACAATAGAGTTCAAAAATCTATGTTGCTTAAAAATTGACTGAAGTTTTTATTTTTGTTTTGTTTTTAGAGGATGCCGAACAAAAAATCTTCATTTTGAGACCAAAAATCTGGAACTGGGATAAATTTGATGAAACCTAGTTTTTTGTTGTTGTTCAAGATAGAAAATTATTGATGTTGAAAACTTGAAAAAATTTCCAACAAAACATTTTTCTCCCCCTCTTTATATTTAATATTTTTCAGC